AATATATATTATTATTTATAAATAATAATAATATATTATTATTTATATAGTAAAGTCATTATTTACTATTTACTTTTCTCTATTAGAAACTGGTGAGACAGCTCTGTCTCTTAAATTCATTTTCATATTTACTTCCAATAAATGAAAAGGGTTTGGGGACCCATTTCTCCTACTCAGTTGCTTTATTCAGCCTTAATACAGGAGAGGTTCCTAGTCTTACTGCAACTTCATATGCCATGTTTGGTTGATATCCATGGGAGGACTGCTGTTTTCTGGAAAAAAAATGGAGAAGTGCATGAAAGGAGGAATGCAATGGGGGAGGGACTGGAAGGAAAAAAGAGAAGGGAAACTACAGTTAGGATGTAATATATGAGAGAAGAATACATTAATTTTTTAAAAGAATTTGGCAAGTGAGACAAGCCAAACATAAATCAACAGAACACTGACCAATACCCATGTTGCTGCCTACAGTCTCCTCTCAGAGCCCATCTTTTCTTCAAGCAGGCTGGTTTCGGCATGGTGCTGACCCAGCTTTCCAAAGCCTAACTCTAGAATACAGTCTAGTAGACAATCCTCTGCTGGAGTCACGTTATATTTTTAGAAATTGTTACAAGCTCCTGCAGAGCTTCTGACAAAGAAATGGACTGGTGTTGTTTTCTCAGCTCTCATTTGGAGCATCAGCATAATTCTATCCTTGGAGGGTTTCAGTTCTCCCTGCATTGAAACCTCAGGGAAACATCTAAGAAAATCTAGTGTTTCAATTCAGATGTTGACCTTTATCTGCCCCAAGGGAAACACAAGACCCACTATCCTATCATGGTGATTCTGAAAAGGCAGCAGACAGCTGACAGTAACAGATCTTTCAGAACCTGCTACTGTGAACGCTGACAGATTCTATTGCAGGGGAAAGTCACGAGTCTCATCTCATATGAAGCAAAAGAAGCCAACTTCCGGGCTGGAGGCAAACAGAGCTAGAGATTAATCTTTGTTTGATGAGTATTTATCTTTCCTTCTATTACTTTCTCTCCTTTTAAACGAGCACATGGAATAAATCCATCTCCGTGAATTATTTTACAGAAATTCCTGACCAAATTAGTCATTAAGTGGGGAAAGTACTGCATAGTTATGTAATAATCGAAACAACTTGTTCTATTGAAGTCTAATGCTTTTATATGTCAAAGCCCTGTTGTTTGTGTTTTATGACTTTGGTTTCTAAGCTTTTTGAAAGTACACATTCTACGGCTTTGTAAACAGTCCCATTTTTCAGAGAGCATAATATCTTTTACTTTTTCACTGTATATACAAACACATAAAATTATTATTTATTTCTACGGTAAGAACACCTTAATGTTTAAACCAAGGGACTCTTAAAAGTACAAGCGATGGAAAAAAAAAAGACTGGATTTGTTTTAATAAATTGATTTTTCACTAAAGCTCTTTTTGCATGTGTGTCTGGCATGAAGCTTTCCTCTAGAGTGACTTAGTCCAGCTGCTTGATGGGTGAAGCAAAGGACAGTGGTTACCTAATAGGAAAAAATCTTTTGTACATACACTAAGGTGTTAGTCCTCTCAGAGATCCCAATTCAGAAAAACACAGTGAATAAGGAAAAGCTATCCAAAGGAGGAAAATCCAGCTTACCCTTGGGTTCTAAATCTGCTAGCAATGCACACTCTAAGTGAGGGACACTGGATGAAGCAAAATCTAGATAAATCTTTATGAGTCCCGAGTTCTAATCATGGCTGTTTATCTTTTTTCATCTCCCTTGTCTTGATAGGATTCCAAATCTTCATTTATAAAGTGAAAAGTGTAATATTTGCCTTTCCTCACTCAGAGTCATCATGGGGACAAAAGAGAAAAACAGATGTAAGCTTCCCTAGGGTAATATATAAAATAGTGCAGATAGTAATGCCAATTCTCCTTGGCCTTTGGATAGGTCAAAAAGCCCCTCAGACCTGCCTTGAAAGGAAAAGGTTCTTTCTCCAAAGACTAAAACTCTCCATGTAAACAACTCATTCTAGGGTTTTACACCTGAGATATATTCTGCCATCTGTAATAATAGCAAAACCTAACACCAGCTACATTTTACCAATGTAAGGAGAAACTGGTACCTCCTTTTATCAGTTTCAAGTCTGCTCATTTTTAATCTTCACACACACACACACGCACACGCACACACACACGCACACACACACACGCACACACACACGCACACACGCACACACACACGCACACGCACACACACACACACGCACACACGCACACACACACACACACACAC